TTGCGAAAAGGCCTGGCCTTTGTTGATATTCACATCTTCCCTGTTACCCAAGGACTCATGGCAATGAGGCCGAGTGGTTATCGTGTCAAGCTCACATGCTGCACTTTTACGGTTCGACTCCCGCTGGGGGTGTTGATAAGACCTAGACGAGGTCGAAACTGCAGTCCACCCTTGATAAGAACAACTTTTAGGAAAGCACGGCTATGCGAAATTCAATGGAAGCGTCAGTTCGACTCATATCATTATGGCAAAATTCTACTACATTCGTCACTTAAAACGAAATAGGATGAATACATCTTATATAACTGAGTTACTGGTAGTCTCGAAACTCTAGTAACATTCGAATTATAATTAAAAGTTGAGTGGTCTGGAAGCACAGCTTCATCTGGTCGTCATCTGAATGGACAAGAACCTATTGGGCTGAGAAAGCCATCTCCAAGACGTCGAATGGTAAGGGTCGAGGCACCATCTGATTACCGAAAGACCCCGTCTCGACTTCGATAAAGCTTATTCCGCGAGTTTAAGTCGATTTCTACTTGGGGATCCGCTCGGCCCACATATCCACTTCCGTGCGGTATCTGTCTCGCTTGATTTGAGTTTAACCGCTGCCTCGTCGTCTCTAAGCGCTCACTTCGGGGTTCAAGGCTATGAGTCGTCTAGACGCCCTCTGATGCTACCCTCAAGTTGCCAAAGGGTCAATAATCTTGACACATACGACAGTGTATTTAAATACCGGTTGGCATAGCAACCACACAATTGGAAGGAGGACAGTTTATGTGGCCAATAGTGAGCGATGGTATAGACTTGGTCCAAACCGACCAGCTTCACAAATCCAGTCCACTTAATATTGCATCGTACAGCAGCTACCGCAAGGCTGGTATACTGGACAGGGGACGACAACATAACAGCATGTTTGACCGTTCAAGTGTGGCGAGGTGATCAGGCTTTGCCAGGGTTGGTTTTGGCCGTGCCGTCGACGTCTGCTCCGTTGGCGTAGCCGTTTCTTACGCCGACGCTCCAGTCTCAATACATTCCGACGTAACATCTTGTTCTTGTGAAGTAGCTCCTTGTACAGTGTGACCAATTGTTCGGGGTTTCTCTCAACGTCCATTGGCTGATCTGGGGGCTGTGGCTGTGGCTGCGGCTGCGGCTGCGGCTGAGGCTGCGGCTGAGGCTGCGGCTGCGGCTGAGGCTGTGGATGAGGCTGCGGCTGTGGCCTTGGCCCCGGTCCAGGCCCCGGCCCCGGGTTGGGCACATGGGCTGCCACCTGATCTGCAAGTTGGGTCAGCCGGTTAATCAGATTCCCCATCAAAGGCTCCCACCGCTCGATGAGCAGACAAGTCCCAAAGCCGTTCGGACAGTCACGGACTCGCTCTGCCGTACTTAACTCGGCCCGAATTGTCTGCAGCCTCTTCACTCGGGCTTTATATCTACGGCTGGCTTTGCCTCGACTCGTCTCCTACCCTTAGCTCCTAATTTGATCGCTGCACAAAAATATCCTTACGAATATGAAGCCTATAAAAAAAATAAAATCTTAATACCTATCACTATTTTTAAATGAATCACTAGAGCCAACATTATGATATGCAGTAAAGTAAATAATAATTTAACAAACCCAGAAAAAACATGAATAATAAATACACAACTAATAATTTTTTCACTAAAATCATAATATCTCAATAAATAAATATAGAAGATCCTATATAAGGAAGCTAAAAAACGTATACAAATATTAGCTCAATAAAAAATTAGATATCAAGGGAGAAAATAGCCTAAAACGGCCTCAGTCACTATTGCTATATGCAAAATTAATTTATAAGCTTTACATCAAGGTATTCTTTACAACTATAATAATACACACCACGGCCATTATGAATATACAAATAAATTAGCACATCAATAATGAAAAATCGCAACAATTCTGAAGACAAACCATCAACCAAAGGTTTTAGTTCACCAATCATTGCACTTGATCCAAGTACTTCCTTTCTAAATTTAACATACCCAACAAAACAAATTATACCACTTACCATACTTTCGAGTGACAGACGCGAGCTTGTCTCATTCTAC